CTCTCTCTCTCTCTCCCACTTAGGGGATGCTTGCAGAGGATTAGGGGATTGAGGCTTTGCAGGCAATTCCATAGCCTGTCCAGGTTGCTAAAATTAGGAAATGCCTTGTTGAGACAGAGTAGTGCATGCCTTTAATCTCAGCACATAGGAGGCAGATCTCTGTGAGTTTGAGGCTAGCCTGGTCTACAGAGCGAGTTTTGGGAAAGCCAGGGCTGCACAGAGAAACCCTGTCTTGGGGGAAAAGAAGAAAGAAAGCAAGGAAGGGAGGGAGGGAGAGGGGGAACGAGCTGTCTGAACACAATGCTGAAAGTGTTGCTGAACATTACTTATTGAAGAAATTAGGGTGTAGCCCATGGGTCATGGTTCATCTCAGAGTACAAGATCCAGAAATATCTGGGGGTAGAGGCTTTTTCCAGATGGCATCCATGAGCTACTTGGGACACTGACAGATTTTTCCAAGACTATCACAACAGGAGAAACATGGCTACCCTGGACTGGGAGGCATAAATGGTGACTGGTGAGGTGAAAAAGCCAGAACTTGGAGCGTGGCAAAGGCAAGCTGGAGAAAGCAGGCCAGCGTCTGCTACCAAGGTCCCAATGAGCAGGGTCACTGCTATGGGCTCAGGGAACACAGCATCAAGCCATGGGCGTCTGGTGTAAGACCATAACTCCTAATGGAACTTGTTGCTAGGATTCAGATTTGTGTTGGACCAAATCACTCTCCAATCATCCACAAATTAAAGGTAGTTAATTTAGGAAGAATAAAGGGTCATTTTGGCTCACCATTTTGGAGGATCTGGGATGGATCATGTTGTTCAGGGCAGACCCTCATTGGTGCGCCAGGCCTTGGTAAAGTGGCAGATCTGCAAACAACCTCCAGGGTCAGAGTCGTTCTTGTGCCCACATTTGGATGAGCCCTGGCCAGTCTTAGAGGATACAGAGACATCCCTCTGGAATTCCTACCCTGGAGGAGTCAAGAATCACACATGCACACACACCCCCAGGAAGAGGAAGAACTTTCAGGCCCCTCCCCACACTGAGAAACCCCATCTTTTGTGGTGTAACCATTAGTTATCTGTCTATGCTCCTGTAAGCAAACCCTAATCAAACTCCCTAGGTCACAAAATGTAGTAATAAGAGCAGCGGGGCTGTGTCCCCAGCACCCCAGCCGCCCGCACGGCTAGCTTAGCTTATGCCCCGAAATAACAACACACAAACTGTATTCATTTAAACACTGCTTGGCCCATTCTCTTCTAGGTTAATTCTCACATATTAATTTAGCCCATTTCTAATCATCTGTGTATGGCACCCCAAAGTGCGCTTACCAGGAAGATTCTAGCCTATGTCCATCCTGGGTCGGAGCTTCATCCGGGGAGCGGGGCATGGCGTCTCTCTCAGGCGTCTGCTCCCGAGAGGAGAGCTGTCGAGAGACTGAGCTCACTTCCTCTTCCTCCCAGCGTTCTGTTCTGTTCTGTTTACTCCTCCCACCTATCCTCTAACCAATAAAATGGGCCAAGGCAGTTCCTTTATTAGCCAATGACCTTCCTCCATCAACAAAAAAGAATACCTTCGCTGGGGTGCTTGGCAGGCCACAAACTGTCACTCTTTCACTGAGACTTGGAGAAAGAGACAGGAACCCCATCCCCCAAGGGGCAGAGGCTTACTCAGAGCCCCCAGAGGCCAGGCCCAGCAGAGACAGGAAGAGTCAGAATTGAGGCATAGGAACCCCACGGTTGCTAAAGACTAAGCAGCTGCTGGTCTAGCATAAGTAAGGGCATCATGGGGGAGGAAGGGACGGAGGGCGGGCAAGGCTGTCACACTTGTCTGGAGCCCAGGCCCTAGAGGCCTGCCCTTTCCACTGTGTGGGTGCTAGGTATCAAAGCAGCTTAGCAGGCCCCAGCGTATTAAGCCTCTGGTCACCCTTGAGTTACCCGGTCACCTTCTTACCTCCCAGCTTATCTGGGAGCAGCCTCCCTCCCGCTAATGAAAACACAAGGCTGCCTCTGGAAAGCTAAGAGAAGGGAACTCTTCAGGTCATCATAAGGAGGCTAATCCTAACAACTACGTGACCTTGGGCCAGATGCATCCTTCTCTGACCTTTGGTTTCCCCATCTGTAGAATGAGCATTAGTTCATACCCTTTCTGTCTTCTCCCTTCCTTCTTCCTTCCTTCCTTTCTTCCTTCCTTCCTTCCTTCCCTCTGTCCCTCCCTCTGTCGCTCTGTCCGTCCCCCCTCCCTTTCTTCATTCTTTGAGATAACATCACAGGTACAGGCTGACCTAGAACTCCTATTCCTTTTACCTCTACCTCCCAAGTGTTGGGTAATAGACATGGGCCCCATGATCAACTAGCCTACATCTTTTTTTGACAATTACAAAGCACAATGGCCTTGGGTGTGTTTGAAATTGTTTATGGGTATGAATCTTTGAAAGATATCTGTCACCTGGAGCTGGAGTGTTGGTTCAGCAGGTAAGAGCACTTGTTGCTCTCTTCTGGAGGACCCGAGTCTGGTTTCCAATGCGTACGTCAAGCAGCTCCCAGCTCCCTGTAACTCCAGCTTCCAGGGATCTGATGCTGTCTTTGGCATCTCTACAGACATTTTTATTCCCTCCTCCCCCTCCTCGAATGTTTGTTCCCTGTTTTTCATGTTAATTTAGCATATGTATACGTGCATGCATGAGCGTGTGTGAAGGCAGAGGGTTACTCTGTGGAGCTGGTAGTCTCCTTCCACCTTTAGTAGACTCTGGGGGCCAAACTCAGGCTGCCAGGCCTGCACAGCAAGCATTTTTACCCACTGAGCCATCTTGCTGCCCCTATTTCCTGTTTTCTGATAAGAGAATACACTCATTCATTGTAGCAAAGTCAGAAAATCCAGGAAAGAGTAAAGAGGCCAGAAGAAAGAATGCCTGAAACCTCATTGTCCTACAGCAGTTAGGCATGAAGCAGGAAGAGCCAGCTTCCTAATAGATAGTGTCCCCTTCCCCTAGTACCCCATTGTGTCCTCCGCTCCTGAACTGGCCAGGTAGGTGGCAGGTGTTCAGCAGTCACCCCCTACACACACACACACACACACACACACACACACACACACACACACATCCTCAAGGTATCCCCGAGCCATCATTTCTGAACCTGGGATGGTGCTAGTTGTTGACAAACTGGCTCACCTGCCAGGTAGAACAGCAAAGTGGTCATAACCCAGACATAACCAGAACCCCACGCATATCCTTCCCTTAACCTGCCACCAAGAAGCTAACCCCAGTGGTACCTGTAGAAGGTTCCACAGAGCCTGGCAGACATTGTGAGAGAAATTCTGGTTTCCCCTAACATCTAGCTTTTTGGAGGTACAAATCTGGGTTATTTCTTTTATTCTTAAAAGGCAAAACATCTTTTAAAAGAGCAGAAGCCCACATGTTTTTCATGCTTATCTGAATCTTATGAGCCTTTAACAACAGAACTTTAGGTGTCCGGTCCACTGTGAAAGATTTTGTTTTGTTTTGTTTTGTTTATTTGTTTTGGTTTGGTTGGTTTTAGTTTTTCAAGACAGGATTTCTCTGTGGAACAGTCCTGACTGCCCTGGGACTCACTCTGTCTACCAGGCTGACCTCAAACTCACAGAGATTCACCTGCCTCTGTCTGTCAAGTGCTGGGATTAAAGGCATGCACCACCACTGCCTGACTTTGTGAAAGGGTTTGAGGATAAAATTATCATTTTTTTTATTGAGTAGAAACTAGAACAAAGAATCAAAGCTGGGTGGTGGTGGAGCATGCCTTTAATCCCAGCACTTGGGAGACAGAAGCAGGTGGATCTATGTGAGTGTGAGGTCAGCCTGGTCTCCAGAGGGAGTAAGGACAGGTCACCAAAGTTACACAGAGAAACCTTATCTCAAAGAAAAGAAAAGAAACAGAATCAAGACAACAGGAGCTGGAAGGATAGCTCAGCAGTTGGGAGCACCTGCTGTTCTTAGACTGTGACTGAGTTTGGCTCCCAGCGCTCAACATGGTGACGCACACACCAAACATTGGCATGCACAGGGTGCATATACATGCAGGTCAAACACTCATATACAGAAAATACAATAAAAATCTAAAGAAAAAAAGTAACATGCTCCCTGGAGACTTTGGATTGCTCTGGCCCTGCCCAGACCCTGTCTCTGGCTTCCCACCTCCTGTGTGATGAGATAACACGTTCTGTTGTTCTGTGGAGCTCCTTGTTCTGCAGACCTAGGAAACATCCCCACCTAAATAGTCTGTTGGCCAGCAGTGCCGAACACCTGGAGGCCTGAGCTACACATGGTGGTGGGTACCATTTTCTCATCTGTGACAGCTTCCACCCGAGCAAGTCCCCACTGGCAGAGAGGGGGCCACACAGGGCAGTGGGATCCCTGGCTATTGGGCAGGAAACACTGGTGTCTCAGAGTGTGCTCGGGGAAGATGGGAGGGGGATTAGTATAGTGAGGTGTGTGGACGGGACCTACTTCTCACGATTTCCATGTAAGGAAATTGAAGAAAGCCATCACGTGTGACCCACAAGTTCAAGTGGAAAGAGGATATTAGTGGGTGTAACCAACCCTGACTCCAGAGGAGAATGAGGATGCATCTCTCACTGCTCAGAAAGCAGAGGCTGGAGAGCCTTCCCGGCCGGAACCCCGTTCTGTTCTCTACCAGGACTTGTACTCTCCAAGGTCACCTGCCTGGCCCGTGTCCTGAGGAGGGCCGTGAGCCGAAGGTGTGCAGAACGATTACCAGGGGGACTCAAGCTCAAGTGCTGACTTCTGGGCGATCAGCCTGGGACTTCTCAAAATCCGCACTACCTGGTGTCCAGTCTCTGCCTCAGTCAGCCTGGTCCCACCCTAAGGCGAAGGCGGGACTTGATTAAAGTTCTATAACAGCGTCTTGGAGGGCGTGTCCTGGGTTTGACTCGAGACATCCCCGCCTTCTAGTGACCCGCCCCTCACTTAGGCCCCGCCTTCACCTAGGCAGGCTGCCCCTGACCGCTGCAGAGCGCTCAGGATGCCCCGGGTGTCCGCGGCCCTCCGTGGCAGGGCAAAGCCACGGGGACGTGCCGGGAACGCCACGCCGGCCCCAGGGAACCAGACAGGTGAGGACTGGGGCCGCGGGTCTCAGCGCCTTTTTCATAGACGGAGAAGCGGAGGGGCGAGGGGCTGCCGTGCTGGGGACCGTGTCCAGGAAGGGGGCGTGCGTCGCACCGCCAAGGCCTTCTCGAGAAGGAACTTTCCCGACTTCCCACCGATGCAACAGGCGACCCCTAACTGAGCCGAAACCGGCAGCTAGCGACTCGAAACCAGGCGGCGGGCATCTCCTAGCGATTGCACGAGTTCGGCGATAGTAGCCCCGTCGCCGTCCCGAACGCCTGCGGAAGTCGAAACCAGCTTCACCTGGCGGGGTGCGCGGCCCGGGGGCGGAGGGAGCTGCCGGGGTGGCCTCTGGGTGGGAGAGAGGTGTTAATCTTTGAAGTTCTTCGGTGACTACTCCAACCTCACTTTGTAAAACGGGAAAGTGAGCCTGTGAGAGTGGAGAGGCTGAGGTCATCCAGCTGCCCCGGCCCTAGGTTGCGCCAGGCTGTCAAGAGAGGTCTCTGGAAGGCGGCAAAGTGACTTTTAGGTGTGTCGTTTCTAAAATGTGCTTAAGAGGGTTTTGTTTTGCTTTTGGTGTTGGTGGTGTGTGTGTTGTGTGTTTTGGTTTTTTGAGACACGGTTTCTCTGTAGCTTTGGAACCTATCCTGGAACTAGCTCTTGTAGACTCAGTGCTGGGATTAATGGCTTGCGCCACCACTGCCCGGCCTCTTTAAAAGGGTTCTAATCTCAGTTTTGGTAAATCTGAGAAACAACCAAAACTGAACCTCTCATTTCTTCCAAGAGCTCCATCCTGTGCAGCCAGGAGGTGTCTCTGAGGAGGGCTTGGCCCCATTGCTCTGGAGATAGCATTGCCCTCACCTTAGTGTTGTGGTTCTCAACCTTCCTAATTTAGCCACGACCCTTTAATACTGCTCCTCAACTTGAGGTGACTCCATAACCATAACATTATTTTGTTGCTATTTTGTAACTGTAATTTTGCTACTGTTATGAGTACTGTGTTTTCTGATAAATATCTGTGATTTCTGATAGTCTTGTGAAAGGGTCTTTCGACTTCCAAAGGTGTCCAGACACGGGTTGAGAACTGCTGCTTTAGTGGATTTGATTTGTCTGATACTGTGCCAGCGGGCCAGCAACCCCACAGGTGTGCTTAGTTTTAGCTTCCTAATTGTTAATCCACAGGATTACCTGTGTGTTTATGGAGACCAGCCCTGGGTCTGGTAGTACTGGAGAAAAGGGGCGTTCCAGTGGTGAGCACCTTCTGCCTTGAGGAATAGGTCACCAACTGGAAAAGGTGGCCGGAGGGTGGCCTGAGGCCCTGCTGACTTTGCACATAAAAGACTATTTGCATAGGGAATCTCAGGAGAAGGTCAGGAGACTTTTGGTTGTCCCTGGCCCTGCCTGGCTTCAGGAAGAATTAGTGTCCTCTCAGTACGCCCAAGTCCCCATTGTTTGAGTTTTGGTTGCGTCCCCTCACACCTGGGATGAGTCCTACCCCGGTGCCTCAGTTCCCTTAGGAGACACAAGGTGAGTGCTGTGTTCTTGCCCCCAGACTGGGGGCAGGGCTAGCCGAGTACAAAGAGAGTCCTTGTCCTTGAATAATGCAGTAGTGGGACTTCCGGCTGCCTGTCTTATTTGTTTTATAGGCTGGGAAGGCAAAAGAAGGGGCCTGAAACCTCTTGGAGATAGTTTGGTGCTGTCAAAAGGAAAAAAAAAAGATAATTGGGATGTTAAATTATAGTTGGCTCCTACAATCTGTCGAATGGGCATTCTGAAGGTCAGGTCTCCTGTGGGTAGGAAAGGCAGTCGTGAGGGCAAGAGTAGAGTGTTGTTATTGTCCCCCCCCCCCGCCCCCCCAGCCAGGGTCTCCTATCTGAACTGGAGGGAAGGTTTTCCTCAGCCCAAGGGCAGCTCCTGAACTCCCTAGTCCAGGAGGTTTTCCAGGAACACAGGGTTCCAGTGACTGCAAGCCACCTTCTGCTAACTCCGGAAGGAACCTTGAAAAGTACAAAAAGAGAAGCTCAATGGATAAGGGGTTGGTGGGCCTTTTGAGTGTCCTCTTGACCTCATCCTTGAAGCCTGCTGTGCCTATATTATGTAGGGTAAACTGAGACCCAGTGATAGCATGAGCCTCAGCATGAGGCTCCCCTCCCCTTGCCATATACTCCCCCAGAAGATTCAGGGCTACATTTCCCTTAGTTAGAATATTCTGTCTTGCCATGGAAGGGAGCCCACAGCTGATGATATGGACCCCAGCCTAGTTGGCCCATGGTTTCAGGGGCATGGGAAGATCGGTTCAGAAGGGACAGATGGCTTCCCAGGGGAAACACGGCCAGGCTTTGGGCCTTGCGTACTCAGTGTTAGAGCCGCATGTTGTCCTGGCTGCTGGTGTCTCAAGGTCCCTGCTGTCAGTGTGCCTGTGTATGTGCAAGTCAGTCATTGCAAAGAACTTTGAAACAACATCACCACCACCACCACCGTGATTCACATTTGGCATTTGGAGAGATGCAGACCCAGAGAAAATTATGTAAGGACTCACTGGCAGGTAGGAACACAAGCCTGGCCACCAAGTCCTGGCGAGGCTGTGCCCAGAAGCCCGCCTCACACAGCCTCTGCCAACATAAAAGGGAACTTATTAACAAGGTCAGGGTGAGGGGGCTGTGGGCCCCAGGAAGGACAGAAGATGCTGGTCCCCGCCTATGGTCCAAGGTTCCAGATAAAAGATTAACAAACAAGGCTCTTTCTCCAGGCATCCGGCTGGCCTCAAGGACTGGGGGAGGAAAAGGGAGGAGGAGAGGGGCCTCTCCCAGATCCAGCCCTGTGCATCTCAGGGTAGAAGGATCTGGGAACACAGCTACTGCATGTGGACTGGATTGAGATGTCAGGTGGGCCAGGCTAGAGACTCTCTCATGGGCTGGGAGGGTCACCTTGCTGTGCCTATCTGTCCTCTGTTCCGTCCTGAGCCTAGAGGACCAGGCTGGGTCGTGTGTGTTTTTCATATTAGCATTAATCCCATTTGTTTCTTTTTTTTTTTTCTGTTGCTTTTCACTCTCTTGAAGATTTCCTTTCACATGGAACAAAAAGTGCCCACGCCCCAGAGTTACTGAAGTAAAAGCTGTACCAGAGCTGCCCAGAGGAGCTACGGTCAGATGCATAGACATGATGGACTGTGGGATACCCTGTGTCCAGTGTCCAGGGGCAGTTCCCAGAGAGGGCTGAAAGTCACCTGCTGTCACCTTAGCTGGGTGCCTGCCTGGGAACATGGGGTGTCTTCACATTAGTTAGGAAGTAGTGTACCCGCTGGAGCTGGGCTTGGTGGGACGTTTTGAGCAGTGGAGGGGCGGATGGGCTTGATTCTTAGACCCTAGGCATAAGGAGTCTGTGGAGCATTGATGAGGAGTAACTGTGGGTCTGAAGATTAAGTTTGGAGGTCTATCTCTAAGTACCCTTTGTTTGTTTGTTTTTCCAAGACAGGGTCTCTGTGTTTAGCTTTGGTTGCCCTGGAACTCTGTAGTTCAGGCTGTCCTCGAACTCAGAGCTCTGCCTGCCTCTGCCTCTCAAGTGCTGGGTCTAAAGGCGTGTACCAGCATGCCTGGCTCTTGGAAACGCCTTGAAGCATCCCTTGAAGAGGTCTACTTGTGTCACTCATGCTGGTCTTGAGCTCTCGGCCCTGCCTGCTCCAGCCTCCTGAGGGCCTGTGCCACTGCATCCAGAGAATCGCAGGCCTCAGACTTTGACAGCATTTATCTCTGCCAGCCCGGTGCCGTCTGTGCAATCATTTAAAGGCCACTCGAGGCTGAGGAAACCCAGGTGCCCACCCTGGTGTTTGCCTTGAGCAGACCTGTAGGCCTCAGCCTCCTCATCTAGAAGATGAGTTTACCCCAGAGCAGAATCTACTAGCCTTGCAGGCCCAGGGATGGGCAAAAGGAAGGTCCCTTGTGCTGTGGACTCGGGAGATGGAGACTGTGCATGTGTGTGTGCCTGCATGTGTTTTCGTACCTGTAGCACAATTAATAAGAACCCAGAGACAGGAATTGGGGTTCAACCTGAAGGTTAGAAAAGCAAAATAGTCAGCCACTGGCTCTTACCTCTACCTCAGTCCAAAGTGGCGACCCTGCCTCCAGGAATCTCAGAATGAGACTGTGTGAGAGATGTCTCCTCCCATCTTATTTTCTCTCTAGGGCTGGGATTAAAGGCATGTGCCACTACCAGTTTTGGCAAACTAGTCTCACTACTGGGATTAAAGATGTGTGTCACCACTGCCTGGTCTATAAGGCTGATCAGTGCAGCTGTTTTATTCTCTGAACGTTCAGACAAGTTTTATTTATTAAAATACAAATAAAATATCACCACAAGCACCCTTAGTCTGGAGTGCTTGAGACATGGCTTAAATTCCTACTTGAGGGATGCAGTTCAGTTGGTGGAATACTGGCCTAGCATGCATGAAGCCTTGGTTTCCAACTCTGGCATGGCACAGACCCAGTATGGTGGCACACCTAATCCTCTCACTGGAGAGGTGGAGGCAGAGGGTTAGCAGTTGATTTGCTACACTGTGAATTCAAGGCAGCCTGATGAGACAATGGATCAAGTTCCACTGAGGCAGGTTCTGTGAACCAGCCCTACCCTCCCAGGACCCAGTAGGGCAGAATACCCATTTTGCAGGTGGGGAAGTCTGAGGCCAGAGTGAAATGTGGGCTGGAACTTGTTCTTGAATCAGATCCAGGAGCCCAAGTGTCTTCCCCTGCCCCAATATGGGGGAAAAGTCTGGGGACTTGTTTTGGGGAGACATACCCAGCCAGGGCCACTTTCTCTGTGCTTCCTTCAGCTTGTTTAAAGAAAGTTGGGTCTACCTGTTTCGAAGTCTCCTTGAGTAACACAAAGGGGGCATATCCACACTGTCCACCCCCGTCCTTTGCCCAAACTCCTCTATTTAACTTTTTTTTTTTTTTTTTTTTCCGAGACAAGGTTTCTCTGTAACATTGGAGCCTGTCCTGGAACTAGCTCTTGTAGACCAGTCTGTCCTCGAACTCAGAGATCCCCCTGCCTCTGCCTCCTGAGTGCTGGGATTAAAGGCATGCACCACCACCCCCCCCCTGGCTCTCTAACTTTTGAAATGGAAGAACAGTGGTTAGGAGGCTGGACTCTACCCGCTGTGAGTTCCCTAGAGGGCTGGTAGAAATGCCATGTTTGGGACCAGGACTGCCCTTGAAGCCTCTCCATCCTGAGTCTGCCCCAGGTTCTTCTCTCCACCTTGGCTACTTCATACCTTCTGCTCCGGGGCTGCCATCCCTCTGGTTAGACTTCACTAGAGGTGTTTTCCTGCTTTTATTTAGCTCTTCAGTTTGACACAAGTTCCTGGGCTTCTGATAGCCTGTCTGGCAGGGCTAGTTGGCCCTCTTTCCTTGGTCACCGTTGGTAACTTCGCCCTTCATCCCCCACAGTTGTGAGGCTCCATGACAAGGCAGGAAATCTGCCTTTTAAGATTCGTGACTGTGAGGTATACCAAGGCCTACAGCCGCTAGCTGAGGACAGGCACCCTGTCCCAGCAGAGCCCTCCCCACAGCACCGGATGTGGCTGCTGACAGACATAGTGTGAACCAAGTGGGGACATTGCAGTGCCCCACCCTCTCTGCAGCTAAGACATATTTAGGGGAAGTGGACCACGGGGTGGTTTCCTTGATGGGCCACAGACTTCTCTTCGTCCAGTCCTCTCGCATCGCTGCCTGGTGTTTCATCTGCAGGTGATGATACAAGCCCAGGGTAAGAAGTCCCCAGGTAATAAAGGCTGCCCTGAGCTAGGTCCCCTGGCTCCACAGTCGGGGCTAGCCCAATTGTGGTACAGCCCTCATTGGGGCTGTAGTCTGTCATGGCCATCCTGTGTGGCAGATACTTCTGCTTCTGGACCCTTTGTGATGAAGTTCTAGTTTAGCAAAGCCCTGTGCTGGTGGGCCACTATGGGTGTTGCTACCCACCCCCACCTCGTCTCTGTCTGGCTTGTGACCAGGCTGGTAGCAGGTGGTGAGGGTGGGCCTCTGCTCTGCCAGCTCAGCTGCAGAAGAATGCAGAAGTTGTGACTCTAAATTGAGGACTAGGAAGTGTTGGCTGCCTGGCATCCTGGGGAAGAGCCCTGGGCCTGGCTAATGTCTGCCCAGCCATGTCTACCACAGCTCCAAAATCCCATGTCCACTTCCCTGGCCAGGGGATAGATAGTGTGTTTCCACATTCCAGGATTCTGAAAAGGCAAAGCAGGAGCATGGACCATGATTAGTCCATGAAGTCAGCTTCCTTCGGTCCTGCCCTGATATCTGTGGAGACAGAGTTGATGTTTCATGGAGCGAGATGAGACCCTGGAATTAAGAGTTCAAATTATGGCCAGGTGGTAGTAGTGCATGCCTTTAATCCCAGATCTCAGGAAGCAGAGGCAGGTGAATCTCCGTGCGTTTGAGGCCAGACTGGTCTATGGAGAGTTTCAGGACAGCCAGGGCTACACAGAGAAACCCTGTCTCAAAAAAATAAAATAAAATAAAATAAAATTATGACCGTACCTGTGACAGCTAGTGACCCAAAGCCAGTGAAGCTAGTATGGGTCTTCATGCTCTCATGAGAAGCATTTTACCGGCTGAGCCAGCTTCTCCCTGGTCTTTCTGTGTTCCTGGTTGCCTCCTAACTTTTGCTATGATTTGTGGCTGCACATTAGCATGTTTGTGCCTTGATGGGTGAATCAGCTTCTTGCTAGAGTGTGGATGCTTCCCAGATTCTGGCTGTCTCTCCAGGCTCTGAGGCGACCTTCTGCTTCCAGGAATGGAGGTAGCATCATGATGTGCATCATGTGAGCCCGCACACTCACCAGATGCCATCCAGGACGGCTTGACCATCACTGCAACCCAAAGAGTCCCTTTTCTGCCCCAAGGGGTGCTGGGTTTCGTCATCATCGTCATTGGTTGTGTCATGCTGGGACGGAACCCACCCAGAGCCTTGATGTTAGGCCAGTGCTCTGGCAGGGTGACACCCCCATCTCATTTGTTTTCATGGTGAACAGCCCTTGCAGCTGAGTCTGGTGCCTCACATTTAACTTCAACACTTGAGAGGCAGAGGCCTTAGGATCTCTGTGAGTTCGAGGCTAGCCTGATCCACAGAGTAAGTTCCAGCACAGCCATGGCTACACAGAGAAACCCTGTCTCAAAAAACACAAAAACAAAGCAACATAAAAAATAAATAAATCTTAGCAACCTTGCCGAGGGAGAGATCAGCTGTCATTCAAGTTTCTTGGCTTGCTGTGTGGTAAGCATGTTTTTGTGGTTGCTAGCTATTATATCTCTTGTATTCCTTGCTTACACATTAGCTCAATTTTAAAAGAAAATTCTGTGTTTAACTCTCATTGGTAATATCTCTTTGCAAATCAAAAAGATTGGAGTTTTGTTTACTTTCTAAATCTCTTTCCTTGTTTTGTTCATCTGAGTTAATGTTTATCTTTCTGTTATTAGGAGAAACATCGCTTTTCTGGTCTGTCTCTCTCTCTCTCTCCCTCCCTCCTTTAGAACAATGCTTATCTAATCATTGTGTATTGAGGGCTGAGGCAGTTCCTCTCTTCCTCTGCTCACTGCAGCCCAGCCTCACGGCCACCTCTTTCTCCAGGCACCTGTGCTCAGCTCCATCCGCCCCCTCGAGGCACCTTGCAAGTTGTCCGTGGAGATGGCACCTCACTGGGGACTGTGCTCATGTTCCACTGCCCCTCTGGACACCAGATGGTGGGGTCTGGCCTCCTCACTTGTGCCTGGAATGGGAGTGTCGTCGACTGGTCTTCAGGAAGCCCTGTATGCAAAGGTAACCGCCTCCCCCCAGGTGCCCCAGCTCAGCTGCTGGTGGGCTGGTGAGATGGGGACCCCAAATACTGTTAACACTGAAGGCTATTAATCATTGAGGATTCTTTTCCCCCTGTTGCCTACTACCGTGACTGAATACAGATGTCAGACCCAGGGGCTGGCTTCCATTCTGCCGCTGCCCTGACTCCTGACAGGTCACTCACTGTCATCTGTGATGAGGAAACAAACCCTACCGGCTTCCTTACTCACTCTCCCTTCATGATTGCCTCAGACATCCCCTGAAGGATGTTTTATTCTAGGTGCCAAGAATTCTAGGAATTGGGAGTGCGAGGGTGAGGGTTGTGCCAGCCCTGGATTCCCTGTCTCAGGGGAGGAAGATGCACTTTCTAGTTGTCCAGCTGTATGTGTAGCACAGGCAGAACCTGTCTTGATTGTCCAGTGCCCATGTGCCAGGACCTGGTGGCTTTCTCTTTTAGCTGTGCCGCCGCACGAGACCTTCGGCTTCAAAGTGGCAGTGATCGCCTCCATCGTGAGCTGCGCCATCATCCTGCTCATGTCCATGGCCTTCCTCACCTGCTGCCTCCTCAAGTGCGTGAAGAAGGGTGAGCAGCGACGTGTCGACAGGTACGGTGGCAGGTGTCCTTCCAGGAGGTGGGCCTGTCTGTAGGGTTGCTGACCGCACCTGCTAGGTACCCTAGGGCAGTGTCTGAGGGTCCCACAGGCCCAATCTATTCTTGTGGGTACTGTGGCTCTTGTGATTCTGGGGCGTAGAGCTGGGCTGTGAAGGCACAGGACTTGTGTATGTGGGGAGGGCGTCTTTCTGTCTGTCTGTGTGCGTGTGCAGTCGGTCATGTATGAACATGGGTGCATGCATGTGGAAGTCACAAGACAACCTTGGGTGTCTATCCGAGATTTTCCCTTCTGCCCTTCTTGTATTATGTGTCCAGCTTTTTATCTGAGCTCTGGGGATTTGAACTCATCCTGTCCTCATACTGCACAGCAAATGTTTCCCCCACTGAGCCATTTCCCTGTGCACATGCGGGGGGGGGGGCACGTAGTGAGCTTGCACACACATGTGACAGTCTATTATGTCAGCGACATTTTGGACTGCCACAGATAGATGCTCCACCCTTCAGATGGGCATCACTGTCCTCACAGATTGGGAGCCTAGGATTACAGGTGTGCACCACCACACCTGGCAGTTTCGCTGTGTTAAAATACACACACACATAAATTCACTGTGTTACTCACTGTTAAGGATGCTATTGGGGCACGTGCAGTGGCTCATGGGTAAAACACCCTGCTGTCAAGTGTGAAGATCTGAGTTCTATTCCTGGAACCAGACAGTGGAAGGAGAGAACTGACCCACAGATTGTCCTCTGATCTCCAAACATGCCCTGTGGTGCATGTGCCTCCACCCACAAAATAAAAACATAATTTAAAAAATTAGGACCCTGTATATGCTGTTCAGCACTGCAAAAACAAATGAGTGAAGAAACTAATTTTTTTTTTTTTTTTTTTTTTTTTTTTTGGTTTTTCGAGTCAGGGTTTCTCTGTGGTTTTGGAGCCTGTCCTGGAACTAGCTCTTGTAGACCAGGCTGGTCTCGAACTCACAGAGATCTGCCTGCCTCTGCCTCCTGAGTGCTGGGATTAAAGGCGTGTGCCACCACCGCCCGGCAAGAAACTAATTCTTTAAAAGCAGTGCTGTTTGCTCTGTGTCTCAGCGCAGTGCTCAGCGGTCAACACTGCCTCGTGCTAGAAATGTCCACCTCTTGTCTGCTAAGCTGCTTTTCACTGGAGCCTACGTGCTTTTCTCCGCCCATGGCTGTTATATCCAATAGCCCAGGTGTCCCACTCCCATGCCTAAACGTGTCCTGCTGCTGTTAGCTGCCAGCCAGAGCCAAGATGAGCTGTGTGAGGTATTTCTGCATGTGCACAGCCGGGAATGAGGGGCCCCTCAAGGTCTTTTATCCTGCACTCTCTCCTCCAGGACGGCACAGCTTTGGTACCAGCTGAGAGGTGAGGACCTGGAGACGGTACAAGCTGCCTACCTGGGCCTCAAGGGACACAACTACAACAACAGCAGCAGCACCGGTGGCGCCGGAGGTGGTGGCGGCGGAGGTGGTGGCGCCGGAGGTGGTGGCGGCGGAGGTGGTGGCGCCGGAGGTGGTGGCGGCGGAGGCAAGCCAGGAATTCAGCACAGCCAGGCCCATGACAACCACAGCTTCGCCACGTGGGTTACCTTGGTCACAGACTGGGGGAATGTTAGGGATACCCTTTCCCCAGCTCAATCTCTGCCAGGTCCTGGGACACTGGCCACCCCACATTCTGGGGACCTGAGTGCACCTACTTCTCTGATGCCTCAACTCCCAACCCCAAAGCTGTTTCAGTGTCCTGCCCTGACTGACATTCACCCCTGGCTATTGCTCTATCTAGTATGATCACCTTGAGTTTAAACTTGGTGGGATGCGGTAGCTGGCAAAGATCTTGTGCCCTCCGATTGTGCTGTCTGCTCTGCCAGAGTTCCTTGCCTTCCTCTCTCTTGGGTCCCCATGTCCCCTCACTTTCTCTTTCACCTAGTTCCAGGTAGGCAGCAGCGATGGCTCTTTCTCTCTTGAAATGCTTTATCTTTTTTAATGAACCAGTAAAGGCACAATCCTTCTTGGTCTCTCTGATAGTCTCCTGTAACGTAGGCTGACCTCAGGCTTGCTCTGGAGCTAAGGACCTGAGAATGACCTTGAACTCCTAGTCTGCCCACCTTCACCTTCCAAGTGCTGGAATTACCTGTAGGTGCCACCATACTTGCTTTGTGCAATGGTAGGAATTGAACGTAGGGCTTTCTGCATGCTGTGCAAGCACTCTTATCAACTTAACCATCTCCTTAGCCTTTTCTGACTCTAGGATCTGGCTGCCTGGATGGTAGGTAGAGTAGAAACCACCTCCAGGGTTATGTCGCATTGGTGTATCTGCCTTTGCACTCAGCATCTGGCCTCTGGGCTCTAACCGGGAGGAGGCTTCTGTCCTCTGCGGTGTGCACATCTGAGTTTCAGGCTGGAGGTCTCGTATAGACAGACACCCTGTCCTAATTGGAGTTTCTTATGACTGGTGAGACGTGATCAGAAGGCAAGTTGTGGAGGGAAGGGTGTATTTGGTTTACACTTTCGTATCGTGGTCCATCACTAAAGTCAGGACAGGAACTCAAACAGCAGGAACCTGGAGGCAGGAGCTGGTGCCGAGGCCGTGGAGGGTGCTGCTTCCTGGCTCGCTCCCTCTGGATTGCTCAGCCTGCCTTCTTATAGATGGCACCACCCACAATGGGCTGGGCCCTTGACATCAATCACTAATTAAGAAAATGCCTTACAGTCAAGATCTTGTGGAAGAATTTCCTCAGTTGAGGCTCCCTCCTTTCAGATAACTCTAGCTTAGCATGGTGGATGCTTATAACCCCGAGCCTCAAAGCCCCTGGCCTTGGGTTCCCAAGAAGAAGGGTGCTCTAGGCCTGGGGCCATCTGCCCCTCAGGCAAGGCCCACACTGCCTGGGTATTGAGCCGGCCTCTGCTCTTGCTGTTGGTACATATACTCTAACAAGTGTTGCCAATATGTGTAGTAGTGTTGTTCTAAATTCTTCCAGATGCTTGCTGCCTTCCTAAATGAGGGTACTGAATTGTCCCCATTTATTGTAATGTTAAAAAACTTAATGCTGTGAGGCAGAGGCAGGAGGATCTCTGTGAGTTCGAGACCAGCCTGGTCTACAGAGCGAGTTCCAGGACAGGCTCCAAAGCCACAGAGAAACCCTGTCTCGAAAAATCAAAAAAAAAAAAAAAAACTTAATGCTAGCTGGGCGTCATAGCACATACCTTTAATGCTAACACTCCTTAGGCAAGAGGATTTCTGTGAGTTTGAAGCCTGTCTGGTCTACATATCTAGCTCTAAAACAGTCAGGGCTACATAGAGAGGCTGGGCTGTTGTTCTCTATACTCTGAAACAGCCCCAGAGAGTTTGTTTTCTATGGGCGCTGGGCATGAGAGAGCTGGGGTCCAGGAAGAAATTGCTCTTGTTGCAGGGCTTTCTGGGGGGTGGGCGCGTCTGTTAGAAGGAGATGGCCCCATGGGCAGTGGTCTAGCCTGAGTCTGTTAAGGTCCTGGGTAAGTCCAGAGAAAAGCCTTCCTTCTCCAACACGTGCCTCCTCTTCTCACAGAGACCTCAGCGACATCAGAGAGCAGGCTGGTGTGGCCCGCAGTGTGGACAAAGACCCTTGGACTTTTGGGATGGGAACTCCGAGCCCTGGTGGCTCCTCCAGCTCTCCATGCACTTACGTGATGGTCCATGCGATGAACTCTGCAGGGCCGGCCCCTGGAATGCCTATGAGGCCCAAAGTCTACCTTCCAGGGTGACCACACTAACCAGAGGCCTGCAACTCAACACTTGCCCAGCTGGAGATGGGCCAGGGAAGTCACTTCCAGATATAGGGAGCTCTTGGGAGCCTAGCTGACATTAAAGGCTGGGGCCCCAGCAGGGAACCGTCTGTCCCGGAGGAGACCTGTGGCTGTTCAGGATCCACACTCATTGAACTGCTACGGGAACGAGGTCCCAGAGAAGCTGCGCCATGACCAGGGTTCTTTTACAGAGACTGAAAAATTTTAAGCAGATATAGTTTTGCATAATAGAATATGAAAATGTTAATAAAGTACTTTCAGCAATACAGGTGGCCAGCACCTCATTCATGGCCTGCAAGCAGGGACCCCCTGGACTTTCATCTGTAAATTGTAGGTGGGAGAAATAAATGTGTTTTCTTTGCATAAAAACACAAAGGTGGGCATGGGAGTGGTTCAGTTGGCAGAATTCTTGTCTAGCATACAGAATCCCCTGCACCATATTAACCAGGTAGAGTGGAAAGAAGAGGATATGAGTTCAAGGCCATCCTCAACCACGTACTAAGTTCAAGGCTAGCCTGGGCTATAGGAGACCCTGTCTAAACTATAGAGCTGTGCAGTGGTGCCCACACGCCTTTAATCCTAGCACTCGGGAGGCAGAGGCAGGTGGATCTCTGTGAGTTCGAGGCCAATCTGGTCTACAGAGTGAGTTCCAGGACAGGGTCCAAAGCTACAGAGAAATTCTGTCTTGAAAAACTGAACCTCAAACTCGGTCTTCATAAACCTATCTTGTGTTCTTACTCCCTGGAGCTCTGAGCTTGTTGGAGACTCTTAATAGAGTCTGATGACTTAAGCACACTGAGCGCTGGTTACTTACAGGTCTGGGTTTGCTTCTGGCATTCAGGGAGAACCTTCTCCCTTTCATAGCCCCCTCCTTCAAGGTTCCTTATAGCCTGGAGACTGGTTTCCAAGGTAAGCTCCAGGTAGAGGCTGTGGTTGCCTTGAAAGTCACTTTTTTTCTGTCTACAGGCACTTGTACTTATGTGTACATATACATAATTTTAAAACAACTTTTTTTACATACTTGTGTCCTCCCACAGTTAGGGTTATGACCTGTCTCTAGCCATTGAGAAAAGTTAGTTTGTCCTGTGTCCTTCCTGTGTGTTTGAGCCATGAATAAGAACCTGAAGAAGTAGTCAAGAGGAAGCTGGAGCAGCTGTCCTTGCCTGCTAAAACCATGGTTATATTTTCTTACATAACAGTAATCATGTACCTGGTAGAAGTCACATTGTCCTTCTGATGAATGCCCCATAATTTACATTATATAAAATATATTTTCTACACACATTTATAATGTAAATTATGTATCCTGGCTAAAAAGACACCGGATGTTTGATATTCCCAGGTGTCACACACCTTTGTCCTGATGACCTCTTGTGCTGCAGATTTCCAGGGTCGGAATTCAAGCCAGCGGCATGTCAGATGGCAGACTCAGAAGTGCTCTCCCTGCTTTGCTGGTGGTAGAGAGCGGTGTTCTGAGGGTCCATCCTCAGTACATTCCAGGGTAGGGGTGTGTGGATTAGAAATGTTAGACAGAAAAATATACAAGAAGAAAGACAGGGACATGGGATAGAGTTGGTTAGGCAGCCCAGTGAATACCAAATCTGCCCACGTTTATGTTTCATCGGCTTTATACAGCCCAATCCAAAGAGGAGGGGAAGACAAAAGACTACCTTTCCAAAATGCAAGGTACAAACAAAGTGATTAGCTTCTCAAATACCCAAAGCATCAAGTAACCAGTTAGGTCAAAACATCCTGTTAGTAACCCTGAGGGAGGAGGAATAGGCCTGAACTCTGACCTTTTGTCAAGGTGGAAGGAATCTACGTGTGGGTTCCCACACTCAGCTTCAGGCTGGGTCTGCCTCGCTCCAATGGATCTGGACATTGGTCAGAAACAGCCCAGCTTTTCCCAGAACTTCGTCCACCAACCTGGACTTGGACAGCAAACGACTCTGGGTTCGGCTAAGTTCCAATCCCTGTTTCCTGGTAGTAATCAGGATGGCAGAGGTTGGACACCCCTGCAATTGGGTGCATAAAATTTTTTTAAAGATTTAATTTTTTTAAATGTGTATGAGTATTTTGTCTGTATGTATGTGAATGGACCATATGTGTGCCTGGTGCCCACAGAAACCAGAAGAGGGCAGTGGATCTCCCTGGAGTGGCACTTAAAAGAGTTGTGAACTATGTGGGTGCCAGGAACTGAACCCAGGTTCCCTGCAAGAGCAGCAGGTGCTTTAAGGCCCCAGCCTCTTTTTATTTTTTTTAGTTGAAGGCATTTTTTTCACTAATTTGGCTCACTTGCCTTGCTCAAATCCTCCTGCCTCAGTTTCGCAAATGACTGGGATGATAGTCATAAGTCATCAGGGACTTTACTATTTGATTTTTAGTTTGTTTTTGAGATGGGGTCTTACTGCCTTGCCCTGCTGGCTTCCAGTTTGTGTGTTTGAGAGACTGCCCTGCTTCAGACTACCAACTAGCTGGTACCATCCTCACTGTGTGACAACAGAGCTAGCCCAGCTCCCCACCTTTTAAAGTTTGTTTGTTTGCTTATTTATTTATTTTTGAGGCTGGGTTTCCTGAAGCTCAGGAATCCCTGAACTGAAGTTGACCCTGAACTGCTGATCTTCCTGTCTCTATCTTCTGAGTGCTACATTAGTTCATGTATTGCTAGGGATCAAAGCCAAGGTCTCACTAGGTAGATGCTCTACTAATAAGCCATCTCCTCAGCTCTCTGCTTCCCTTTTAAGGCTGAAAAATATTCCATTGTCTGGATGAACTTTTTTGTTTGTTTTGTTTTTGAGACAGGGTTTCTCTGTGTAGCTTTGTAGCCTGTCCTGGAAATCACTCTGTACACCAGGCTGGCCTTGAACTCACAGAGATCCGCCTGCCTATGCCTCCTGAGGGCTGGGATTAAAGGCATGGGCCACCACTGCCCAGCCTGGATAAGCTGCTTTTATTTGCTGGTTACCTGTGCATGGCATCAGCCTCTGCTACTGTATGAAATCCGCTCATGGATCTTGCATGTTGGAGAAGGCTGCTTATTGGTTCCCGGCCACCCGGCTAGCTTAGACCCAAAATAATCACACAGAAACTGTATTAATTAAATCACTGCTTGGGGCTGGAGAGATGGCTCAGAGGTTAAGAGCATTGCCTGCTCTTACAAAGGCCCCGAGTTCAATTCCCAGCAACCACATGATGGCTCACAACCATCTGTAATGCGGTCTGGTGCCCTCTTCTGGCTAGCAGGCATACACACAGAATATTGTATACATAATAAATAAATATTAAAAAAAAATAAATCACTGCTTGGCCTTTTAGCTCTAGCTTCTTCTTCTTTTTTTTTTTTTTTTTTTTTTTTTTTTGGTTTTTTCGAGACAGGGTTTCTCTGTGGTTTTGGAGCCTGTCCTGGAACTAGCTCTTGTAGACCAGACTGGTCTCGAACTCACAGAGATCCGCCTGCCTCTGCCTCCCTAGTGCTGGGATTAAAGGCATGCGCCACCACCGCCCGGCTAGCTCTAGCTTCTTATTGGCTGACTCATCACTGCTTGGCCTATTAGCTCTTATTGGCTGAGTGTTATATTAATTTAATCCATTTCTGTTCATCTGTATATCGCCACGTGGCTGTGGCTTATCTTGTAAAGTTCCCAGTGTCTATCTCCAGCAGCTCCATGGCTTCTCTCTGACTCTGCCCTTCTTTCTCCCCACCTAGCTCTGTTCCCCTATAGCTCTGCTATAGGCCGAAAGCAGTTTCTTTATTCATTAATGGTAATCACAGCACACATAGGGCAATCCCACATCACTTGCATGTACTGTAGAACACTTCCCCAGTTATCCTGCAGCGCCCTCACTTCAGCCAGCTCTGTGCTCTGATGTAGCCCAGTGGGAGAGCACACGTGAGTCTACACAAGGTCCCGTGTTTGTCAGCACCATGTGTGCATGCATGCACAAGATGACAATTGTTTATCTTTGCTGGCTAGTGCGTGTATAAACTGACAAGATGACCACTCCATGGTATGGTTAAAGAGAAGATTTTTATTGTAAATATGACAGAAAACAGAGGCATCTGGAAGAGTCTAAAGCAGACCTGGCCAGTGCTATCTGTGAGACAGGAGAATAGAGGAAACAGTGAGAGAAGACAGAACGGAGTAAGAGAGTGTGCACACATTGTGAGAAATAGCAGGATTATAAGGAAAATGAGGAGTTGGGAGGGAAGCCCATGAGCTGGGTGAGGTTTAGGGTAGGGGAGGAGATGAGAAGGGTTAGGATGCTAGCTAGCACGGACTTTGGCGTGTGGAACAGGTACTTGTGATACTGAGGGAGCCTGGAAGCCAGCATGAGCTTTGATATGCTGATAGGAAGCACAGATAGCCATAACTCCCTTCTGCCAGAGGTAAGGGAAATGACTCCTTTTGGTAGATGGGAACTAGTTTCACACGTTCTTGAGGGATGCTGGCTTTTACCTAAGCATCAGAAATTCTATAGTTCAGGTTGAGCTCATTGGGCTTCCTTTTGCAGTCTGGGGAACTTGAGTTTTCTTTGGAACAACCATTGAAGCTTTTTGTTAATGAGAAGTGGTGATGTAGTCTCTTCTGTACCAGCTTCTCAGCTGAAATTAGGATGTTGTTGGGGCCCAGGAGTCAAAGGTTGGTGGGGGGAGGGGATTCAGGCCATGGTAGGGGACATCTGTCAGAAGTATCTCATTTGCTGACCCAACCTGAAGAGGCAGGGAGCAGTCTCATAGGCTTTACAAAGGCTTTCAGCAAGTTCAGGGCGTGTCAGTTCATACCTGGGGCTAACATGTTGCAGACCATTTTGGAGCAGCCTTTAGGTCACAATGGATTCCTGGATGGTGTCTGTCAGCTGAGTGGAAATTTTCTGGGACAGATATACACTAGGGACTGAAGGTAAAGTTCAGGAGTTTAGGGGGAAATCTTTATTTTGGGTGTGTACTGTGGTCCCAATAGTTGGGGGTATGGAAGGGTCCCAAGACTGGGGGAAGGGAAGAGCCCACCCTCAGGGATAGGCAGTGGGTGGGAAAGCTTAGGCTGTTGATGACAGGAGTACTTACCTGGAGTCAGTTTCGCCTGTGACAAGTGGATCTCCAAGTCGCGACTCCCTGAAGCTTATATGAGCTTTTTCATGTCTATGAAAAGATAAAAGTTTTAGATGTATTAGCATGAGCACTGTCTGCAATCTGCACTGAAGTCCTCACTGTAGAAAAAGCAGTTGACAGTGTCTATAAACAGCTGGAGTAGACTC